TCAGCACACAACGAAAGGTTGATCGGCCCACACCAATCAGTTACCAAGCCAACTCAAACTCAAATCACCCCACGAGCACGTTTCTCCTTGTCAGACAGCTTGCTTCACTCAATCAAGCATGACGCCGTCCACCCAAACTGGACCCCTTGTGAACCAAACAAATATACGTCACTCATTACACTCCGTAAACGTAGGGTTGATCTCGACAATTCCTCGAATACATGTGTGGCTGCGTAAACGTAGTGTTGATCTCGACACTGCCTAACATACATTTGTGGCTGCGTAAACGTAGTGTTGATCTCGACAATTCCTCACATACATGTGTGGCTGCATAAACGTAGTTTGCATCTCGACGGTGCCCCACATACCTGTGTGTTTGCGTAAACGTAGTGTTCATCAAGACAGTACCCCGCATACATGTGTGGTAGCGTGAACGTAGTTTTTATCTCGACGGTGCCTCACATACATGTGTGGCTGCTCGAACGTAGTGTTCATCTCGATAGTGCCCCGCATTCATTAGTGGATACATATATATATATATATATATATATATATATATATATATATATATATATATATATATTGTTTATTCACAAAAAGTGTTAGAACACAGAACACAATTACACAGAACTATTTACAGAGAGAGGGAAAAAAAAGAATTACCACTATTTTACATATATATCCTTATCCATACACATTCATACACATACACATGCATATATACAAATAAATATTTAGACTGTATGCAATGAACGAAGTCGAAAAGCTTTGTAAACGTAGACTGCTAGATTTGGTATGATTTTAAAGTTAGTGGATGACATAAGAAGGGGTTGTAAAATATTTAGGAGGAATGTATTCAGCTCTTAAATCACTATAAGCATTGCATATAAGCACAAAATGATATTCGTCCTCAATAAAATTCTGGTTACAAATCAAACACAGTCTCTGTTCTCTAATTTCCTTAATATATCGACCGGTCTCAATTCGCAGCCGATGGGAGGAGCATCTCAACTGAGCAAGTGCAGCTCTGAATTTTGAAACATTTACTACATTGATATAGCTTTCTAAGCCAAATGAAATTTTGTAAAGAGAGTAACTTTGGGATTTAGTGCTAGATGAAACAGCTGCATGCCAATCTTGCTCAGATGAGGCTTTTAAACGGTTTACATATTCCGAAATAAAACTTCTACTATTATTACTAAATTGCATCTCCCATATGTAGCCAAAACCAAACGAATAGAGAATGTGTTTGATTTTAGAGACCCAGTTGATCTTACCATTATTAACATCAAGTAATAATAATCTATAACAATTCTTACCTAATCTATTTTCAGGCAAATGTAAAAATTATGTACCAATAAGTAACTACAGGCTTATAAGCACATATGTACATAGGATACCTTCCGCATTCCCCCCTAACCACATGATTTGATGAAGATTGTTTAACCCCAAGAAAGCGTTTACATGCTAGTACCTGGACTTGCTCTAATTCTTTGTAAATATCTACACCCCAAATCTCGGCACCGTATAAAAGAATTGGAGATATTTTAGAATAATTCTTTTTGAAAACCAAGTCATAAGGAAGAGGTTGAAGCATTTTTAAAGATTTAATGACACCAAATAGGACCTTTTTAGCTTGTAAAGCAGCACCTTTAACGTACAAAGACCAGGGGAGAGTTTTTGAAAGAATGGTACCGAGATATTTATAAGAACTTACACACTGAAGTTTTTTACCCTTGTAATACCACTTTTCATATTTTGATAAAATACCCCCATTTTAAAATAAAACTACCTTAGTTTTATCCAAGTTGACTGTTAGATGATAGTTACTACAAAACCTTTCCAGAGCTTGTATGCGTTTTTGAAGGCCATACACAGTATCAGCAATAAGTGCAACATCATCAGCAAACAACAATAGAAAAATCTGTACAGTGTCAGGGTGTAGCTGTACACCTGGAGTTCATGTTGATTCTATATACAAAGCTAAGTCGTTTATAAAAATAGAAAATAAAAATGGACTCATTACGCAGCCTTTCCGAAGTCCTAGAGGGCAATCAAAACATTCTGTAAAACAATTTCTGATCTTAACACAGCTTTTAACACAGGAACAGATGGATTCTAATGCATTTAACATTTTTGGGGACACACCTCTGGATTTAAGAACTAGCCATAATTTAGATCTATTTACAAAATCGAAAGCCTTTTTAAAGTCAACAAAAAGAACATATAATTTACCACCCTTCTTAGACAGATAATGCTAGATTACAGACTTCAGAATAAATATATTATCAATAGTACTATAACCTTTCCCAAAACCAGCTTGAGAGTCACAAATTTTATCATACGCATCAGACCAGAACGTAAGTCTTGAATTAAGTACAGATACATAATTAAAGTTTACAAAAAGTGCTGAGCAAGGAGATACCATGGTAGTTATTGGGGTTTGAGTAATCGCCCTTCTTATGCAGAGGTATGATATCACCAGTACACCACGACTCGGGAAACGAACCATCTTCAAATAAAATGTTAAACAAGGTTGTTAGGTATGGTACTATTAAATCACTTGATGCTTTGAAAAATTCAGAAATAAGAGAATCATTTCCTGGCGACTTACAGTTTTTTAATTGATTGATAGCTTGCAACACTTCGTCTTCAGTTATCCGGCTGTCAAGGATAGAACATGTTTCATCATCAAAAGGATAATCTACACCATCTTCTATAGTATCATGAGAGAAAGCGGTATGTATATCTTGGAATAAGTTTTTAAAATGCGAAGCCCAGTCACTAATGGGGATAGTGGATACATATACGTACTGTTCATCTCAACACTGCCTCACATAAATTTGTGGCTGCGTAAACGTAGTGTTCATCTCAACACTGCCTAACATACATTTGTGGCTGCGTAAACGTAGTGTTGATCGCGACAGTTCCTCACATACATGTGTGGCTGCATAAACGTAGTTTGCAACTCGAGTGTGCCTCACATACCCGTGTGGTAACGTGAATGTAGTGTGCATCTCGACAGTGCCCTATATACACGTGTGTTTGCGTAAACGTAGTGTTGATCACGACAGTGCACCACTTACATGCATGGGGACGTAAACGTAGTGTCCTTGTCGACAGTGCCTCACATACCTGTGTGGCTGTGTAAACGTAGTGTTCATCTCGACTGTGCTCCATATACCTTAGTGGATGCGTAAACGTAGTCTTCATGTCGACAGTGCCCCACATACATTTGTGACTGGGTGAACGTAGTGTTAATCTCGACAAGGCATCACATACCTGTGTAGAAGCGTAAACGCAGTGTTCATCTCGACAGTGCCCAACTTACCTGTGTAGTAGAGTAAACGTAGTGTTCATCTCGTCTGTTCCTCACATACATGTGTGGCTGCGTGAACGTAGTGTTCATGTCGACAGTGTCTCACAAACCTGTGTTGTAGCGTTAACGTAGTGTGCATCTCGATAGTACCCTACATACGCGTGTGGCTGTGTAAACGTAGTGTTAATGTCGACAGTGCCCCACTTACCTGTGTAGCAGCGGGAATGTAGTATTTATCTCGACAGTGCCCCACGTACCTGTGTGGCTGCGTAAACGTAGTGTTCAGCTGAACAGTATCCCCACATATAACTGTGTGGCTGCATCAATGAAGTGTTCATCTCGACAGTGCCCAACATATCTGTGTGGCTGCGTGAAAGTAGTCTTAATCTCGACAGCCCCCCACATACCTATGTGGCTTAGTAAACGTAGTGTTCATCTCGACAGTGCCCCACATACCTGTGTGGTAGAGTAAACGTAGTGTTCATCTCGACAGTCCCCGACTTACCTGTGTGGTAGAGTAAACGTAGTGTTCATCTGGACAGTCCCCGACTTACCTGTGTGGCTGCATGAACGTAGTGTTCATCTCGACAGTCCCCGACTTACCTGTGTGGTAGAGTAAACGTAGTGTTCATCTGGACAGTCCCCGACTTACCTGTGTGGCTGCATGAACGTAGTGTTCATCTCGACAGTCCCCGACTTACCTGTGTGGTAGAGTAAACGTAGTGTTCATCTCGACAGTCCCCGACTTACCTGTGTGGTAGAGTAAACGTAGTGTTCATCTGGACAGTCCCCGACTTACCTGCGTTGTAGAGTAAACGTAGTGTTCATCTCGACAGTCCCCGACTTATCTGTGTGGTAGAGTAAACGTAGTGTTCATCTCGACAGTCCCCGACTTACCTGTGTGGTAGAGTAAACGTAGTGTTCATCTGGACAGTCCCCGACTTACCTGCGTTGTAGAGTAAACGTAGTGTTCATCTCGACAGTCCCCGACTTATCTGTGTGGTAGAGTAAACGTAGTGTTCATCTCGACAGTCCCCGACTTACCTGTGTGGTAGAGTAAACGTAGTGTTCATCTCGACAGTGCCCAACATACCTGTGTGGTAGAGTAAACGTAGTGTTCATCTGGACAGTCCCCGACTTACCTGTGTGGTAGAGTAAACGTAGTGTTCATCTCGACAGTGCCCCACATACCTGTGTGGTAGAGTAAACGTAGTGTTCATCTCGAAAGTCCCCGACATACCTGTGTGACTGCGTGAACGTAGTGTTCATCTCGACAGTCTCCGACATACCTGTGTGGTAGAGTAAACGTAGTGTTCATCTCGAAAGTCCCCGACATACCTGTGTGGTAGAGTAAACGTAGTGTTCATCTCGAAAGTCCCCGACATACCTGTGTGACTGCGTGAACGTAGTGTTCATCTCGACAGTCTCCGACATACCTGTGTGGTAGAGTAAACGTAGTGTTCATCTCGACAGTCCCCGACATACCTGTGTGGTAGAGTAAACGTAGTGTTCATCTCGACAGTCCCCGACTTACCTGTGTGGTAGAGTAAACGTAGTGTTCATCTCAACAGTCCCCCTCATACCTGTGTGATAGACTAAACGTAGTGTTCATCTCGACAGTGCCCCACATACCTGTGGGGTAGAGTAAACGTAGTGTTCAACAGTATGTAAACACTTATAATTTTATCCTGACATCACTTAAGACTGACAACTCAAACCATCCGTTAATTCTTGATATTTTAGAACTTTACAATAATCTTGCTACTGGCCAATACGACATCGTCCTTTATTGAAGGCTGTGCCACTCAGGGGGTTACTGTCCTTCGTCGATATGGCTGCAATATTGCCGATACGATGTAAAGTTTAAACTCATCCACTCACTCAATTGTGTAACATTCATTTTTCAAAGTCCAGAATAGTGTTAGTCGACATATTTCCTTATTTCCATTTGGACCTTTCTGATCAGTTACAAGAGATACGTATACCCCAATGCTTAACATCCTAGAAGTGTGTATTTGATCTGCTCCATCTCGGGTATCTTTTGTCAACTTGTCAGATCTCACTCCATCAAAGGGAACTCGCTTCCCTTGAGAATTTACGATCAATATCTCTGAGTCTGGTGTCGATTAAGTCATCCACGCATTTATGATCAAAGCAAGTAAGTCAATAAAGAGCGATCGGATCAATGTAATTATAATTTAAGTTTAAATTACCACACACAGCAGATTATACACGTTTGTGTTAATTGAAAACTTCTAAGGGTCTTCTTGAGGCGAGCTATAATTACCGTTATAAAACTGCTAACTGCGTAATGGATAATATACATGAAGTGTCAAGAAGAACCGGTGAGTTTAAGTTGGAAGTTTCAGAGGTACCATTGGCAGGTAATTGAACATCAGATATCTGGACTTTATGAAGTATGTCATATGAGTTAAAATAAGTTAGGATATAACATACTGTGTATATGTAACGGCACTATATTGAATTTTAAAATGAAACCCGCCTAATTGCAAGCTTCTTGCTGCAAGTAAAACCTGAAAATCACTCTCTGTGTCGATTTCTATCGTGCTTTCTGCCCATATGTTTTACAACACATTCTTTCAATACTACTATTCAAGTCACAGCAATGCTGCACATGAGAGTCGATTAATTTAGATATGACGATGTCCTTTCAACAGAGATTGAATAATAGGCAATTTGCTATAACTATAACCTTCCGCGGTAGTGCGGTCGAATAGTTTCCTCATTCGTGGAAGAGTTCGTTATGGTCTATGAATAAACAACGATTTTATAGACGGAGTTCTTCCAGCTGCCCCCGCACGTAGTCTCTGGATCACCAGCACACTTGAATGAACATTCATCATCTGATAACCTCTCATATCCACTTTTGATGCTGTTTCCACAGTAACATTCATTTCTATTCTGCAAGAAAACGAATACAATCATGGTTTACGTGAAATAATAATAGTTCGTAATTGTGTAAACATACACATAAGAACTATATAGGGATTATGATCTGAAGTCGATATCCGTAAGTCGGTTAAATGCAAGGATATTGGGAATTTAACTTTAGCTGTGCTCACTTAGACTTTTATATTCATGTTTATTCATGTGGCTAGTTCAGACTATACGTTCCAAACTATTCATTATTTGCTAAACGGACAAAAACAATTAATCGTTAACACATTCTCGTAAATATTTCAAAACTTCAGCAACCAATCTTGCCGTAAAAGGCGACTATGCTTGTCGTAAAAAGGCGACTAACAGGATCGGGTGGTCAGGCTCGCTGACTTGGTTGATGCATGTCATCGATCCCAATTGCGTGGATCGATGCTCATAATAGTAATCACTGGATTGTCTGGTCCAGACTCGGTAATGTATAGACCGCCGTCATATAGCTGGAATATTGCTGAGTGCGGCGTTAAACAACAAACCAACCAACCATAAATATTTAAGACTTCATCCACTACTCATAGACGGATTTATGTGACTTAATAATTAATATGATGAAGCCAACTTTATTCGACATTTGTTCAGAAAATAATTGTGGGTAATATGTTAAATAACCTCGACATAATGAATTGTCCCTGTTGAGTTAACATTGAAGTTTTGAATAATGTTACACAATCAAATCACTTGGGACACATTATTCATTTTGATATTAGTTGCGGAAAGCTAAACGGTCGCAATTTGCGTATAAATGCTGTTTTAATAACGGTTCTGTTATATCAAGATGTGCCAGCTTGTTTGGAGTGAGTGAGTGAGTATGGTTTTACGCCGCTTTTAGCAATATTCCAGCAATATCACGGCGGGGGACACCAGAAATGGGCTTCACACATTGTACCCATGTCGGGAATCGAACCCAGGTTTTCGGCGTGACGAGCGAACGCTTTAACCACTAGGCTACCCGACCGCCCCCAGCTTGTTTGGAAGTAAACCCAACGTGGTAGAGGTCATGGAAAAGGTACAGTGAAGCCCGTGACTACTTGGTTTGTGCTGACACAGAAAACGCAGAATTTTAAAAGAATAAACATTTCATACCACGACCAGCTCCACGAGATTCAGAACACAGTTATTATACAACTGTGGCACATTTTAGGGTACATGCGTATCGTTGAGACCATGCGATGTGACAGGGAGGTGACGTATTTGAGTACAGTGTGCATTGGCCTTAAGTTTACTTCAGAAGAAAATGTTTTCCGTGTGTACCCAATATTGAATTTGAGAAGTATAATGACTTGAAGGGTATAATTACAAGAATTAGCAATTAGGTGTAGTGTTAATCGACAAATGAATCGCAGTAACTATTCTGGATATTTGGTCCCACTTTTTTTTCTGAAACTAACACTCAAATAATGTGTGTTGCATATAAACTTTCAAACCGTTTGTACATATTTCAGTATGTTTTGAAAGGCGAGCCAGATGATGGCGTTTAAATGCTTTATACTTGATATGTTGATACATTTGTTTCTAGCCGTCTTGATATTATTTAGTAATTTTGAGCTCAATGTGTTAGAACGAACACAATCAAAGTACCATTGAAATACTATACACCTCTTGAAGTAGTCTAGAATTCACAACTTGTAAGGGTGTAGTAGAAACCTTTATCATGTTCCCATGCAAGAGCAGCATGGATCCGGGATTGAGAATCCTCTCCACAAAATGAGCAGTCAATATTAACAACTAAATTCATTTGTAGCTCTTTGTTGAGCAATATTTGTCGATAGGATCTGGGTTGTTTTTTTAGCTGATAGTCTGACCATAGGGTCTCCAGTAGTATTTTCCCCGTGTTGTGAGTTTATAAAGTACTGTTTGCAATAATTTCACCATGTAAAACTCCCTAAATAAGGGCTGTCACTTTTTATATGGTAATGATGTATATGAAAACCAAGTCTAGGCGTAAGTTGGACAACCGTGACCCCTGTTGAAATATTAAAAACTTGTGATCCCTTGCTGAACTGTGAACAACCCGTGATCCCTGGCTGAAATGTGAACAGACTGTGACCCTGGCTGAATTGTGAACAACCCGTGACCCTGCCTGAATTGTGAACAACCCCTGGCCCCTGGCTGAAATGTGAACAACCCCTGATCCCTGGCTGAATTGTGAAGAACACGTTACCCTTGCTGAATTGTGAAGAACACACTTCCCTGGCTGAATTGTGAAGAACACGTTACCCTGGCTGAATTGTGAACAACCCCTGACCCTGCCTGAATTGTGAACAGACTGTGGCCCTGGCTGAATTGTGAACAACCCGTGACCCTGCCTGAATTGTGAACAACCCCTGGCCCCTGGCTGAAATGTGAACAACCCCTGACCCCTGGCTGAATTGTGAACAACCCGTGACCCTGCCTGAATTGTGAACAACACGTTACTCTGGCTGAACTGTGAACAACCCGTAACTCTGGCTGAATTGTGAACAACCGTGACCCTGGCTGAATTGTGAACAGACTGTGACGCTAGCTGCATTGTGAACAGACTGTGACCCTGGCTGAATTATGAACAACCCCTGACCCTGCCTGAATTGTGAACAACACGTTACCCTGGCTGAATTGTGAACAGACTGTGACCCTGGCTGAATTGTGAACAACCCGTGACCCTGGCTGATTTGTGAACAACACGTTACTCTTGCTGAACTGTGAACAACCCGTGACCCCTGGCTGAAATGTGAACAGACTGTGACCCTGGCTGAATTGTGAACAACCCGTGACCCTGCCTGAATTGTGAACAACCCCTGGCCCCTGGCTGAAATGTGAACAACCCCTGATCCCTGGCTGAATTGTGAAGAACACGTTACCCTTGCTGAATTGTGAAGAACACACTACCCTGGCTGAATTGTGAAGAACACGTTACCCTGGCTGAATTGTGAACAACCCCTGACCCTGCCTGAATTGTGAACAGACTGTGGCCCTGGCTGAATTGTGAACAACCCGTGACCCTGCCTGAATTGTGAACAACCCCTGGCCCCTGGCTGAAATGTGAACAACCCCTGACCCCTGGCTGAATTGTGAACAACCCGTGACCCTGCCTGAATTGTGAACAACACGTTACTCTGGCTGAACTGTGAACAACCCGTGAACCCTGGCTGAATTGTGAACAACCGTGACCCTGGCTGAATTGTGAACAGACTGTGACGCTAGCTGAATTGTGAACAGACTGTGACCCTGGCTGAATTGTGAACAACCCGTGACCCTGCCTGAATTGTGAACGACAGGTTACTCTGGCTGAACTGTGAACAACCCGTGACCCCTGGCAGAATTGTGAACAGACTGTGACCCTGGCTGAATTGTGAACAACCCCTGACCCTGCCTGAATTGTGAACAACACGTTACTCTGGCTGAATTGTGAACAACCCGTGACCCTGGCTGAATTGTGAACAGACTGTGACGCTAGCTGAATTGTGAACAGACTGTGACCCTGGCTGAATTGTGAACAACCCCTGACCCTGCCTGAATTGTGAACAACACGTTACTCTGGCTGAAATGTGAACAACCCGTGACCCCTGGCTGAATTGTGATCAGACTGTGACGCTAGCTGAATTGTGAACAACCCGTGACCCTGCTTGAATTGTGAACAACCCCTCACCCCTGGCTGAATTGTGAACAATCCTTGACCCTGGCTGAATTGTGAACAACCCGTGACCCTGGCTGAATTGTGAAGAACCGTGACACTTGGTTATTAACATTCTGAAGAATTAGCGATCCCTGGTTGAATCGTGGCAAATTGGTTTATGATTGCTTGCAAGTGACATTTATTTGGTCACCGATTTGCCATACCCATGTTGTACAACACCAAGGCAGCAAACTTACCTGTGTTCCAAAATATATGAATCCTTTGCCTTGGCAGTACAATAAACAGGTTTCAGTCGTCAAAAGTGCGTTTTGCATGCGCCCGTCTGGCAGAAATCGCGGCCTCCTGTCTCTGTAGCAGCCAACGTACTCGGCTAAAGCTGAGAAGAAATGAATAATTGAATCCACCAGGAAACGACTATTTGTATGTGAATCAGGGAGTTTATACTTCAAAATGTGTGGAAAGAAAGCCATTGTTTACAAGGAACTGACAAGTTATTTCAAGACATGAGTTTCTTACATATTGTACAAAGGAACATACTATTTTCCCACATCTGCAATGTAGCCATGGCGACTGATGAAAACAAATCGCATGTACAGGTCAAGTTCGTTTTGGTCCATGTTTGCTGGCAGGTCTGTACCTCTTTTGAAAAAAACCCTAAGAATTTCCTTTTTTAGAATATGATGGCAATCCACACCACTATCAGAATAGCAAAGAGCATGTCAATTATGCAATAAGCAGGCATAGAAGATGAGTACCACCTTTTCTTTGAATGTCAAGTATATGATCATTTGCGAATTGAATATTTATCTCTGTATATGTACCAACCACCAAACATTTTCATTTTTTGGTACTAATGTTAACGTCGAGTCTTTGAAAGGCATTTAGAAGTGATACATATAAGGAAGACAATTTATGGATGTCAACTTCTTTATTGTGAGGAATATAACTTTTTGGAGAATATACTTACTCATTCATCAGGTGAATGATTAAGGAGTAAGTATATTCTCTGAAACGTTGTATTCCTCATGATAAAATAAGTTGACATCCATAAATTCACTTCCATAACGTTAACGTGTTAAAACGTGTGAAATATATTTCATATTATTAATTATATAAAAATGTATGTCTAAGGATGAATTAATAATATGTATAAAACTATCCATGCAATCTAGATCTGTACTGAAGGTGTGTAAATATAAGTGTAAATATAGAAGTTTGAATACTTGTAAGTGTAATGCTTTCAACAGGTGAAATACACTTTCTGGCTTGCTTTCCTGCGTATGTGCCTAAACAGACCTATCGTATATCCAAACATATTTTGGAGACAGTCGTGTTTAGTTATTGCAATACAACTACGAACTAGATATTTATCTTAGATACATTTCAAGCAAAGATATTTAATCAAACAAATAAATAGTGCCAGTACCGACCATGCATGCAGACATTAAAATATAAAGCGGCTCTTGATGTCAGGTCTGTCTGTGCACTGACATGAATATCAAGCAGACGTTATTGCTTGTTTGAATCCTTCTAGTTTGACGTGTATTTAAAGTATTTATACTTAGAGCAAATATAACTAGTATGCATCACATGGGGACCAATCGACAATGGCATTTTTCCTGAATGAAGCAGTTGTTTTCTTCAAATATCTTCAAGTCTTTTTCAGTTCTCAAGATTTAGTCAATATACCAAAAGTTCCGTAAATTTGCGCATATAATTCATTTATGGTGTACTGGATTCGCCATAGTTCACAGACAACTTGGGAATAATAAATTACAGATTTGAAGAATTGGAGACATGCCATGCCTCCAAATGGCGTTATTTCATTTTTGCTGATAGGTAGATAAGAGCAGACATTGTCCCACTGATCTCACCAGTTGTAGTAGCTGCAGGGGCAGTAGTAGTTGTCGTTTTTGCAGCAGATGTAGTAGTTGCCGTAGTAGTGAGGGAAGTTGTATCAGCTGAGAGGACAGTAGTGTCGGTGGTAATGTCGACATCGGTGTGTTCTACAGTAGTCGAAGCTGTTGCGACAGGAGTGTCAGTTTCAGATGTAGTAGAATCATTAACTGGCGGTATTGAAGTTGAAGTTGGCGTGGATGTGGACGTGGGAATGTCACGTGGTGGCGCCAGGAGGCATATGTGAGCTGTGCCAGCTGTCACTGGAACGCAAACTTCTTCTTCTGCGCATGGGCGGTCTTCACATGTGCGTGTGGAAAATATCTAAGTAATCAAACAATGTCAAAATTATCAATATCCTACAACAAATATCAATTAAAGCATCACGTTAAACGCTGCGAACACTGATACTGATAGCTACAGTTCACAGACTGATTAACAACTATCACAGGGTTCCTGCATTATAACGCCGCAGGAGCAAATAGCTCACATGCGCCTGTACGGGGTACATTATATCACTAATGATGTCACTACATCCACAAAGGATGGTCAACTATATCGTGTGTTTTTTTGGATGCTGGATGACAGTTGAATTCTCAGTCGACATCTTATTACAATTTAACAAGTATCGACTTATCCGAACTTTGAGACAAAGAGATGTGTTAATTCTGCAAACAGGGAAACATTATTTATCGGTTGTGGCTCGTAATTATTCTAATTTATCTATTTTTTCTTCTAATTTATCTTGTTCTTTGGTCTTCAAGTGTAACCTCTTTCAATTCTATTCACAATTTAACAGGATGGTGGCAGAGTTGCAAGTGTCTCCTCAAGAATCCCAGATTTTAGTTCAATTTTTAATGCTGAGGCCAAAGCTATCCTAACAGCTTTGACCTATATTCAATAGCAAAACCAATCTAAAAAATGCATCATCTTCTCTTATTCGTTATCTAGCCTTCAGGCATTTAAAAGTGTCTCACGATATCACCCAATTATCCTTGACATTTTAGAACTCTATAATGACCTTTCCACTGGCCAATGTGACATCGTCTTTTGCTGGTTGCCATGTCATGTAGGCATAACAGGTAACTCAACAGCCGATGCTGCAGCTAAAGCAGCTCTTGACAAACCGTTATCTCCACTTCTTATGGAGTGATTTCAAACCAACCATCAAATCTTATACTCGGGATCTCACGCAAAAGAGATTGGACACCCAAGTAGGAAGCAATAAACTACACGAATTGAAACCAACAATCGGTCATGCCTACTTGGGTTGTCAGTCAAGACATGACGATGTCGTATTGGCCACAGTCGGTTTACACACGAATATCTGCTTAAGACAGATGAGGACGAATCTCCTAAGTGTATCCCTTGTGATGAAGGGTTCACCGTCAAGCATATATTGCTTGACTGTGTGGATTTGCAATCGCAAGGGATTCACATTATCAAAGTGTAAATCTAAAAGTCTTAGATCTCTTTTCCCGTGTCAGCGGGCATCTCATCATAAACTACTTGAAATAAATTGGTCTGTATAATAAATTCTAAATATGTATGTGAGTAATTAAATGCCTGTTTTTAACTTTGGTGTGATGCTACTATTAACAGACATTATTAACGGCGCTGTCCAGGAGGTTAAAGTACCGTAAAAATATTGCCCCCCTGTGTGACACGTAATCCTATCATAATCAATGTAACTATCATCAACCAGTGTTTTTAAGCCAACGCATTGATGAGTATTTTTTAATATTGGCTAGCATTGTGCACAACCACCAGTGGCTAAAGTGATGACGTAAATCCTGCTGGGGTATCATGCAGGAAGCAGAGGTACTGTAAGTCCCCATATCACATGATCCCCAGCGAGGTGGCCTAGCTTTGGTTACTGGTGTTTTAAAACTGTATATATAATATTGTTATGCCCAAATATGTTTCATGAAATGTTTCTAAATATAGAATGCTCAAATATGTTTTATAACATGTTTTTAAACAAAACTTTGCATTAATGACTAAACTGTAAATATATTAACTTGGTCTCGTCGCTATATAACTGAGATAATGCCGATGCGACGTTAAATTTTAACTCACTCACTCACAATTTAACACTCACCTGGGGGTTTCCGTTGATGGAGTGACCAGACCCATCTGTTCTGAGAAATGCATCTGTAGTATGGTCGCCATGTTGGTTGGAGTTCAGGGTACACGCCCCTCCACTCACCCCCCATCTGTATCCGGCACACCAGGTGTGGTAGACACACAAGGCTTTACACACAGTATATGAAGACGTCGTCATGGCAACAGCCAACTGACCGGTCGCAGATAGACACGTTAGTATTACCAGTATATAGAGTACGATGAGTGAAGCCATAGCGTCCAGCATATCTGTGATGGTAGAGGATGTGTGTTCTGTCTGTATCCGAGAGTGTTTTCTTCAAGGATCAGCGACTTGATCGCCTCGTGAATAATTCACTGTACACTGTTCACATACATAGATCTCGCCGGACATGCAACGTTGATCACCTTGTTTAACATCTGCAGGCATTCTGTATTTACTGCTCAAAATGTGATAGGAAACAATGAACAGCCATCTTATTGATCACAACACCGACTGAACTACCCCAATTTACTAAACAGACCTCGACCTTAACATTTTGGGAATAACAGTTTTAAAACGTCGGCGTCGCATCGGTGTAGGAGGCAGTGGGGTAGTAGTTAAAACGTTCGCTCGTCATGACGAACGCCCGGGTTCGATTCTCCACATGGGTACAATGTGTGAAAACCATGTTTGGTGTCCCCGCCGTCACATACACACACACACACACACACACACACACACACACACACACACACACACACACACACACACATACGCACAAATGCAGAGCGTTCACGATTCGAATTCTACTTTGAAGGGAATCAAGTGTAGCATAGAGCGTTATCCTAGCAACATGATTACCAACATCTGCTCGTGCAATTATTGCTAAACTCAGGGAGGTTTTTAAATCAAAACAAAAATAATTGAAAATACAAGGAAAAGCGGTCTTCACATGTTCCCGTAGAAAATGTCGAAAAAATATAACAATGTCGGAATTATAATATTCTGCCACACATACCAATAAAAGCATCACGTCAAACACTGCAAACACTGATAGTAATAATTACAGTTCACAAACTGGGTTAACACTATCACAGTGTTCCTGCATAATAACGCCCCGGGAGAATATATACACACAGAAAAAAGTTAAGCACACCCCTATTTCTGAACCATGACAAATAGCAAAAGACCAGGGGATGACTGACCACAGGAGCTGGGCGATATCAATGATGATACCAACACATAAAGAAGATATTGGTGAGTGAAACTAACTGACAAAAACATCATGGTAACACAAGTACTGTGTTTGACCTTAGTCAATACCTAAAAACGTATGGAGCTACAGGATGAAGAAAACGAGTTACGTTTGATGTTTCATGTGAAAATGTTCCTTAAAGTCTCTCCTTGACATGACACGCGAAACAGATCAGTAGCGGGTATAACCGCTACATGCCCCGATGACGCATTCCACACTACGTCTCATGCCTCATGTCTTGTCTATGGGTCAACAACAACCACTCCTGAAGCAATGCTGCTTCCAGTTGGCGTAAATCTTGTACAGGAGGATCTCGTGTCTGTATGCGCCGCCCCAGAATATCCCAAACATGTTCAAGGGGGTTCAAATCTGGGCTCATTACTTGCCAGGGTAGAGTCGTTATTGCATTGGTCCTCATGTGATCCACGACTGCATGCGAACGAGAAGGCCTGGCATTGTCATCCATGTGCTGAGGTCGAGTAGTAAGAAGGTGGTTGTCAAAATGAGGAAAGACAACCGGCCTCAAAACGTCCCGGATGTACTGAGCCCCTGTTAAGTTGCCCCTTATGGTGACCAAATCCAACATTCAATCATGAGAGATACACCCCCAAACCATTACCGAGCCCCCGCCGTATGGAACGTTCCGGTGCCTCCAAGCTCTCGTTCTTCCATCAGTGACGTGGAGCAGAAAGCGACTTTCGCCTGACCAATGGATCCGTCTCCCAGTTCTCAGATTCCAGCTCTGTCGCACAATACACCATGCTAAACGCGCACCTTTGTGGTTATTTCATAACAAGGGAAGCCTTATGACTCGTCTATCCTCAGTCCCTTGGTTCCTGACGGTTCTGGTGCTGAAACGACGATTGGGCAACCACAGCTGTTTCAGACTAGTACTTGTTAAAAAGGATTTTTGTTTTGTCTTCATGCGTAACCTCTCACAATTCTATTCTCAATTTCACACTCACCTGGACGTTCCGTCTGTTCTGAGGACAACATATATCCATATTTGTCACCATGCGGGGTGGAATTTAGGGTATACGCCCCTCCACCATCTGTATGCGACACACTGGGTGAGGACGACACACAAGGCTCTATACTCGTCGGCAACAAGCGACTGACCGGTCGCATATGGTCACGTTAGTATTACCAGTATACCAGTGTTATATAGTACGATTAGTGGAGCCATGTTGTCCAGCATATCAGTGATAGATGAGGACGAGTGCGGTTTCTGTATCAGAATGTGTGTTCATCAAGGATCAGCTCTAGGATGCGTCTTGACCGTCTTGGTAAATAATTCACGTCACGTAAATCGACCTCACCCAATATGCAACGTTGATTGCCTTTCTTAACATATGTAGACCTTAAAGATTTACAACTCTATAAGAATAAGATATTGAATTAACATGATCCTGACGGTTTGTAGTTCAGGTGTACGATCGAAACCATGCGCAAAGCACAATGGATAGTCATCTTATTTACTTGCCACTGATTAATCCATAACGCCATTTACACTAACTTGTCTTATCTTCACATTGTTGAGATGTTCTGTATGTCCTTAAATGTATATATTAATATAAGATTTGACGCATTGTTTTGTCTCTCAGTGCAGCATGAATTGTAGTTTGGTATCTGAATAGGTTGCGGAAATAAATTTAGGGATCACCAGTCATCCCTACAGCAAAGCATGTCGTCGTTTTATCTCCAACTTGGTATGTGATCACAACATGGCAAGGCATTAGCACCGTGTGGCTACTTTGTTGAAATTCATTGAGCAGACAGTTCACATGAGTGATGGAGGGCAGGGGGAGAGGTTAATCGTTGCTATGAACAGTATTTCTGTTATATCATGACGTGTCAGTTTGTCCCTCGTAAATGTTTAAACACATGAATCCCTCGAATAAAACTTATACTTGATATCTAAGTAGGTTTTCTTTGGAAAACCGCACCACAGAATTGACTATACTTAAATCTACAACCACCAACTTTCAAAGTCATTATTAGAAATTGCTCACCACTGATGATTGAGAAAACAAATAATGTCCTTTAAAAATCCCATTCTGTCATCAACTGAAATAGTATTGATCCCTGCGTTTCTGCTTTGGTAACATCACAAAGATGCTTTGTTTCCATCGTACGCAAAGACGTTTGTGCTACCTGGAGATTTGGCGACAGGGAGTTAATTATTGATATGACATGCGTTGAATGCAATGTGAAGTAGGATGTTAAATAGAAATGAGGAATCCCAGACCATCCCTTCAATGTAAGTTGTGGAATATACTTGGATTACACAATTGTATTGCCGATAACGCCATCTACTAAACACAACTGTAAGAAATTTCATTATATACTTGTAAAAGAGAATAACTTATATTCACATTAAGACGCATACTTAAAACAAACGCAAATGTAAAAATCAATGCGATACCTTTGTCAGAGGGAAGTGCAGACCTATCAACAACTCATTAAACATATGTAATTAAGGCAGTGCAATATTACATCAATCAGGTCAAACGCTTTGTCTAATTTATGTCTTTTCTTCCATATACGTTTTTTTTCTATTCCCCATTGTACTTCACATCCCACGTGATCTATTGCACATATGTAAATGTTCCTAACATAATCCGGGACGGTCGGGTAGCGTAGAAAGCGTTAGCTCGTCACGCCGAAGACCCGGGTTCGATTCCCGACATGGGTACAATGTGTGAAGCCCATTTCTGGTGTCCCCTGTCGTGATATTGCTGGAATATTGCTAAAAGCGGCGTAAAACCTCACTCACTCACTCCTTACCTAATCCTTTTCTACTTATAAATATACTAAAACGCATTGAAAACGCGCCAGAGGTCAAAAGTGAAATTGACGCCAAACCAAATTTTATATGGTGTTGGCAGTGTACCTTGTCACACTCAGATAACTTGATAATATTAGTTAAGACAAGTGTCATTGGAAAGTAAACAATTTTAATCGAGGATTTAATTTTAAAGGAAATGGAACACACAAGGGGTCCAAAGAGAAAGTCAGTACCGGGTATGACCGGCCTTGGTTGCAATTCATGCTACTCAACGCCTTCTCATGGACACTATCAGCCTCTGGATAACAGCTTGTGCCATCCTACGCCTGACGAGTTGTGAGCTGTCCAACGTCGGCAATTTGAGGTTGACGTGCAATGCGCTGACCCCACTAGTCCAGGTGGTCAGTGGGCGATATATCGGGAGATAAAGCAGGTCATGGCATATAAAGTACATTATACCATGCCAGGAAGTCCACAGAAGTCCTGTTGGTAAGTATGCAGCTCTTGGTGTTGTCGGAAACAGATGACATCGTGATGTTTTAAAATGACGTCCCTGTAGTAAACTGCATTAAGACGACCAACGTGCACACATGGAGCTGTGTTCTGTGATGAAAACAGATATAGCCCCTAATCAGCACACGTACGCTGCCTCATCGATCAGTCTGCACAACACAATCATCATGATAACGTTCACCGAGGCGAAACAAACACCCGAATACGTCCGTCGGCGTTCCTGAGGTGAAATTTGGATTCTTCAGAGAAGAGAATGCCATGCCAGCGACTGTTGGCATGTCAGTAACTGTTGTCTGTGCCTCTGCAACCATTGTAAACGTGCATTTCGGTGCCTTAAGAATCCAGCTTATGATGACGGAACGTTCCTGTTCCTCAAGTGTCAGTCTCGGCATTGCGTCGTCAATGCTATTCTGTGGCCACAGCAATGATGCGTAGCCTATGAATGTCATCAACCACAGAAGCATGTAGGTGAGAAGAACAACCCAGCAAAATAGGGTTTATGTAGTTAATAAAATACTCATCCAACGTATTCTGGCAGCACTTCATTTCATACTTATTGTAGGACAACCATGCGGATTGGCCCCATGATTCAGGTCTTCATGTGGAAAATGAATGTATACTGGTGTTTGTAAATAATACTCAAATGACATTTCTGTGGTGTTGAATATTGCTCTGACTTACCCAGAGACGACAATGGACACTGGACGGATTGCCATCACAGAATTCATATCTCTAATCTTGACAAATACGTGGTACTCTTTGAGATGGGTTCTGCACCATTTTGCGGACACTCCACTTTGCAAACAGATACCGGAAACTGCATTTTTTTTGCTGCGTGCAGGCTTTAAAGACAGACAGACCATTATATGTCGGGTCACCAAAATGAAGCGTCCATTTGATGTTACGACAGCCAGAACTCTACACACCAAAATAAATCACTGAGTTCTACACTGCTGGCCAGTATGCATGGGGAATTCAAACCAAACCACCACAAGCGGTAATCCCCGTCATCTGCAGCTCATCTTCCTTTGTATGATTCAAACACAAACCAAGAGTTCTGAGAACGTTTCTGCAAACCCCTTTTTACTATCAACCGGATCTGAATTTCTTTCCATTTCTAGTTTTACTGGGTGCAGTTTCTATTTCAAATGAATGAATCGAATCTTTGAGACGGACGACGTCATCATAAAAGGCAACTCTCCACGTTTCTTTAAATTCATCAAAGTTTGGTGTTTGAAACGATTGTTTTGTTATAATTTATGTATCAGTCAATAGAAGGAGTGAAGGTTTTGTAGACGTTCATCAGCTGGTGAACACAGTGCGTCACAGAATCTACCCATGTGAGGCGATGTCTTTCTCAGGCGAAGAACGTCAACAAATACAACTTCGACACTTGAATGGAAACTTCTTCACGAATACAAATTTCATCATTTTGGATTTTGTAGAAAATGAGGCTATATCCTTGGAACAAAGGGTGTATCATTAGCTCTAAGTGAAAGGCCCACCTTCCTCAAACATAATCCTCTTTGTGTGTTTATCTTACACAGCCCGTAGAATCAGCCAAAGAATGGCTCTTGACTATTGTGTTGAGAACAACGCTGAACTGATATAAAAATGATTCTTAAAATATGTTTCTTTTATAATGAGAATAGCAGTAGTCGACAGCGATTGATAAACTCTATTTATTTAGTGGAGATGTAAATATTATATTCGCTATAAAATGGTAAGGTCAAATCACTGCACATCATAACAATGGCTGACGTCCAGCAGGTTGAGTTTGCGGTATCTAAGAAAGGCTCACCCCAGGTTCTCCGTGATGGTTATGTTTACAGAAGGAATGCTGTTCGCCAGACCTGCACTCACTGGAGATGCATCATAAGGGCATACTGCGGGAAGATGTCAACTGTTGGCGACCTGAGTGAGTGAGTGAGTGAGTGTGGTTTTACGCCGCTTTTAGCAATATTCCAGCAATATCACGGCGGGGGACACCAGAAATGGGCTTCACACATTGTACCCATGTCGGGAATAGAACCCGGGTCTTCGGCGTGACGAGCGAACGCTTTAACCACTAGGCTACCCGACCGCCCCTGTCACAGTTGGCGACCTGATGACAACCCGTAATCCAAACAACCATCAGGGAGATGCATCTGCCATCAAAGGTGTATGCGTATTTTACATAGGAGCTAAAGAATCCTGCTGCATCATTCTTCCCGTTCTCCCCTTCAATACACATCGCCGTCTGTCGTCTAATAAAGCCACACCATTCCTGGACTGCCCACTTCAACATCTGAAGTTCAACTGGAAGGAGTTAGTGTGTTTGCCACTCCATGACTAGTTGATCTTTGGATTGCTTCGGTCAGTCGACACCATT